TAAGCATCCTACCATCTTCCTCCTTATAAAGGCTGATGGACTTTGCCTTTCAGAAGCTGACACCTTGTTTTCCTAATCTGCTTTTGGCATCCTGGTTCTGCTACCTGACTCTGAGTGGCCACATTATGTTTTTCTCCCCACATCCCTGCCAACACACCCAGGCTGCAGGTAGGGACAACAGAGCAAGATGGACTCTTAATTAAAGGCATTGAAGCCAGTCACCACAACTAGTGTCCATTTGAATACATTCTGTGCTTTATTTCTCAGTAACGAGCTGGTGGCCAGTGAAGGGCCAGGAGATGATGCTAGCAGATTATTTCTGTCCTCTGCCAGCCCCAGACTACAGAATTAGATTCATTCAGTTGTGTCTTTGCCTCACATGAGTTGCGTGACTGCTTCTATGGAAAATAGCCTGGGCATAACCTTATAAAATGTTTGCTTTGCATTTTACTCCTCAAAGTAGCAACGTGGCCCTGTTGTCTGTTTGGTGATGCCACGTGCTGGCTCCCCTGGTGACTCTGGTGCAGTCATATTCAGAGCTTGTTGCTCATCGCTTGGAATTTCCAGCAGCTCTATGTGGTGGGGGAAGACTTGACTGAAGGGGGAATAGACACATGATCATAAAATTAATACCCAGCTTGAAATGCCACGGTGCTAAAACTAGCCCCGGCTGCTTGATGCATTTGTGTCACTTAAGGATGCTCTGGGTACAGGCTTCGTATTCAGAGCCACCATTTTACAGCCTGTGCTGCAAACCAGACACTATAGAAATCACAACACTTTTAATCTCTCATAACACGGACTAGATTGACGTTTTTATCGGCCTCCTCCAGCTGCAGCTTTTTTCCTTTTAACCACGGAGCAGTTTTCTTTGGAGGTAGTTGCCCGCTGCTCCTGACGATAAAAAGGTGCTACAAGCTGGTGTTGCGTTCTCGAGAGCTGCAGTGACTTCAGAGAGGAGTATGAGATGAGTCGCGGCCTGGAGGAGCGCTCGCAGGATGTTTCCCATGAGAAGCAAGCTCTTGGTTTTCCGATTTATCTTAATCACATACAGAACGACATGGTTCACCCCATGGAAGGGCTGAGTCTTGAACCCGGTGTAAAAAGTTGTGTCCATGGGGGAAAACCTTTTTTTTTTTTTTTTTTTTTTAAGTGCATTAAGCCCAGCAATGAGTTCAGTGCTGGCAGACGTATTGCGCTTCTCTGAAATACTTCTAAATTAGAGCCAGTCTAAAATTATATCTTACATCTAATTTTAACATCTTATATTTCTGAATTTGTTGTAGTGCTAGTATCGCTTCAGTGGAGTGAATGTCATGTGAAAAAACATTTGATACTGAGGTTATTTACAGCTATAATTTTTTCAGTCTAGATGGGCAAAATGATTAATAGTGTGAAAATACAGCTTTTTAAATGGGTATTCAATCATTTTCCATTTTTTCCTGTTATAATAATTATACATAATGGCGTGTTTTTAAGGGTTCTGCTTAACTTTTTTGCGTGTGCCTGTTTCTATGTTCTTTTCTTACTTCCACTGGTGATTTTCAAAGTGTGACCTATGAAATTCCAAGCACAATCTATAAATAAAAAATTGTGCCTTCTAGAAATCTTGGAATACTGCATTTAAAGCAATGTGTTTCTAAAGATTAGCAGTATGTGGACTCTAAGGTGATGGCTGAACTAAAAACTCACTGAGGGATGGTGAGTTCAAGAGTTCATGGGTGCCTTCCATAAGATATTAGGGTTGTGTAGATAGGGATTTACAAAGCCCCCTAAATTACTGTTGCCAAAAAAGAGATGGATGTCGAGCTGCTCTTCATGACCAGCTCTTGTCTTGTTTGATTTGCAAATTGTACAGATACTTCCAACAAATCGCATTCCAGCCGAACCACAGGCTCCTGCTGGTCGTCCGTCGTGGCAAGCAAATGCTCCTCGAGTCAGCACAATATTTCTCAATTTCTTCTTGCCTCCTGCAATTAAAAGGGAAAAAGAGAGAACTCCTTGCAGGCAAGGGGAGGATAGCTGGTGTTTGGGATCTCGCATGCTGCGAATTTCAGTAGCGCTTCTCAGTTTGGTGAGCAGAGCGGCTGCTAAACTGGCTGTTTTGGGTGTTTATTGTCTGGCCTGGCAGGTTTGAGGTAATTTTGCAAATGCCCTTTTAAAGGTAGAGCTGCAGCAAGGCTCGGGGTGGGGAAACCTTTTGAGTTTTTCTCAAGTGGTTGAAGTAAACGGAGCCAAGAGAGGGAAAGCCCTCCAAGGGTGAGTGTTTGCTGTGGCTCCGGGCAGAGGAGGAGAGCGAGATGTGTGGAGGATTGTTTGCAAAGAGGATTAAAAATCATTTGTGACTTAGGCCTCCTGACTCAGTGAGGAGGGTACGGAAACCACCTGAGCGCCGACGGCCTGGGGCTTTCCGGGGGTGGCCCCGAGCTCCCAACGAAGTCCCTTCCCTGTTCCCCTCCCAGCTAAACCCTCTTGCGAGGTCTAAAGCAGAGTGGCCCTTACGAAACACCCGGAGACCTTCCCGCTCCTTTATTTTTCCCTTCCCCGCCGTGGCAGCCCTGCTACCCTTGAGCCAGCTATTGTTCCGCGAGGTGCCGGCTAACCGCGGCCTTGGGGACGGCCGGTCGAGAGCAAAAGCAGATGTGGGGAAGGCAGCGCGGCCCCGCTCCCGCCCCAGCGCTCCGAACGAGCCGCTTATGCCTTAATTCTTATTACAGTTAAAATGCAGCTTCTGTGCGTTCCATAACTCCAGCTTTTTTATTTTCCATTATAGGATTGTTTACATTGCAGTGGAAGAGTTATGTTCAGCCGGCTTAATCTTCAGGTGGCCTTTTGGCTGTTTACAGCTGCTTTGCGAAATGCTTTTTTTTTTTTTCCGTTAGATGCTACTTGCTGTTTAAAAAGAAAGAAAATCTTTTTGCAGATATTTGCCGAGACCTGGGGAGAGCTCTGTGAGCAGGAGGGCCATTTCAGGACCGTTAAAAGCCATCTCGAGGATGCCAACAGTGCGAGGAACTGCTTGTGGCCAGTGGCTCCTGCAAGGCAGAGGGGATTGCTGCCTGTCAGCAGTCACTCGTAGGCACTTTGCAGTTGCTTGCTGGGCTAAAAAGGAGGTTTTCCTCTCCTGGGAGCACCTGGGCCTCCTTCCACGGCCCGCGTGCCCTTTGGAAAGCGACACTGGTAGCACCACGGCTGAAGCTACGCAAGGACCTGGGGGCCTCCTTGCTACGGTAGCATTTTATAGGTGTCTCCTACTCCCATAAAACTGAAAGTAACAGCCTCCCCGCGCAGCTGGCTGTAGTCACGCTGCCGCGGGGTCGCTCTTCCCGGGTTTGTGGAACCGAAACGCCCAACTTCTTGATTCGCACGTCGTCTCGCCGCTGGCCGCGCGGCACCCTCCGAAATGGTCGCTCGCACCTCGCGTACGTGGGGATTTCCTCCATGCAAATCTCCCGTCCGAGAGGAACAGGTTGCGGATGTTTCTGCAGCCGGAAAGCAGGGCTGGAGGGATCTGCTCTTCCCCTGTGTTAGGTGTTGGAGAGGATTAAATCTCTTTGAAGCTTTAGACTGTGATGGAGAAAGAGGTTCCCGGGTTTGCCTAAGCTTGCTCTACAATTTTAGGAAAGTCTCTTTGCTCTGCCCCTACGACTAAAGTGAACATGTGATTTGGAGATGGAGCTTTTTGGGACAGGCACTGCCTTACTACCAGTAGTAAAAATGAAACCCATTGCCATAGAGACCTATAAAATGCATTTTGGGTGTATCAGCTTCTGCACCACTCTTAGTTTTACATTAATTAACGTTTGATGTTCCTAATTTATCATGTCAATGTGCTGCATTATAGATCTTCATCTATATCCAAAATACTTCTCAGTGCACTTGTTCCTGTAAAGCAACCCAGAATAAGTAAGAGTTTGCTTGGTATCAGAGCAGTCTGCCTGTCACCGGTTGTGCGATGGTTTATGTGTGACAACGGCAGGCCCAGCTGTCATAAAAAAAATGTGACAGGTTTTCAACACTCTTGTTTCACGGCCATTAAATAAATTACAGCATCAATGTCATTAGGTAAATCCAGTGGATGAATTTAGTTTTGGTTTGGGGGCGGAGGGGAGGATATCAGGCTTCCTTACTGGTATAATACACTGTGACTCATTTGAAGGGAAAAAAAATTAGAAGAAAATTGTTGACGATATGTTTCCCAAGATGACAAGTAAATACACCAAATAATTAATAGCAGAAGTTAAAGTTTGAGCAATTTTTGCCCTGCATGTAAATATTTTTTTTTACAATTTATTGAAATTGAAACTTTATGAAAATAAAGTTTAGCTCAGTACTTTCCCTCCTTCCCCAATAAAGTCACTTAACTTTTTGTGATTTATTTTTTAGCTACAGTATCTATTGCTCAAGGTAGAGTCTATTTGAATTATTTAACTTTTGTATTAAAATAATGGCAATTCTTCTAGGCTTTTTAAGCATAGAGCACTTCAATTCCTGTAGAAAAATTTTGAGGATGTGTTTGCTGAACTTTTTTTCTTTTTCTCCTTGTTTTTGTTTTTTTTTTGACGTCTGTCCCCAAAATCTTTTATTGCAAAAGGGAGCATATACATAATTCACTTGCATGACATTTAAACAACACTTAGGCTTTGACTTACATTTCAAACTATCTTTAGCAAATGGCAATAAAGTCACTTTCTTGGATGCGTGGAACAACTGACACAGATTAAGCAACACTAAAGGATTACTGGATTTCTGATTTGAGGAGAAAGAGCCAGAGATAATGAAGGACTGCAGTGAGATGGCATGAGGTCCCAGTCATTCAAAACTTCTTTTGGCATAAAACTTAAATCACCTCCACCCTCTAACATGAATAATTAAAATTGCAAGTAAGAAACACTAAATTTTAACCTAGGTTCCTTGCATCAGAGAAAAACGTGCTTTTAGTTTTAACTCTTATTTAAACTAACATTAAATGTTTATGAAATTACTTGTGTCTTTTTTAGGGCCCACACATTGCATCAGTTACTCTTGCTGCCTATGAATGTAATTCAGTTAATTTTCCTGAGCCACCTTACCCGGATCAAATCATCTGCCCTGATGAGGAGGTCGAAGGATCCATCTCCTTATGGGCTATCATCTCAAAAGTCAGGCTGGAAGCCTGCATGTGGGTAAGCTTTCGTTTCTAAAACTTACATAGTCTTAATACGTGCATTTAATTACTGTGTCCACCAATGCACAAAAAAAAAAAAGCTGAAATTGGTAAAATAATGATGGTCTACACTGCTAACAATAATGTGTTTTTCTGCAATGTGAACTTACTGTCCTGAACATCCTTGTCGATTCTAGTTCTGTATACTTTTAATAACCCTTAAAGGAAAGTGATAAATAGTAAGCATTCTTTTATCAGCTGTAGACAGATTGTTCTTCTAAAGGGTAGTAGGAAGCACCCAGGTACTTTGAGATGCTTGATGCAAAAGGTAACACCTAGAAAGGGTGTCTGCGTCCCAAGTGATGTTGCAACTGTCAGGTCTTACACTGCATACAGTTAAGCATTAAATAATTTCAAAGATTTTGGGCCTATAGCTTGTATTAACAGCAAAAGCAGGTTATAGCCATCTCAGGAAGCAAAGTAACATTTAAAAATAATAATAATAAAATAAATCACTTTTTCTAATTAGAGGACAGAATTGCCTGAATGCTTGGTACATGGATAGAGATAACTGACTTTGGTACAAGTATTTATAAGACCATAAATGCAAACTCCCTTTTTTATTTCCCTCCTTCTGCTTGAGTTTGTTTAATGAAGACTGGAGTAATAAAAATAGCATTTACACTTAGGTTTCTGGGGTTGCAAAACAAAAATGCAACTCGGGGTAAACACCCATTGCTTAATCCTTGGCAGCTGAAATAAGTGAACGCTGAGAATGAAGTAGTTCAGGAATGAATTAACACAGTTGCAGGCATTGCAGGCTTGTGTCGCTGGAAGCAGTAAGGAGTCCCACGGGGGAGCAGACAGCACCTTCCATCCTGCATTTGAGCTGTATTTGTTGGTTCAGGATGGGGAAAAGAGCAAGCCAGGCTGCTCAGTGTCCTTCCCCCCTTTCTCTCCTCTCTTCTTCGAATCCCCGTCCGCTACCTTTTCACTGAACTCTGTCTCCACTGACGCTTCCCTTGGGAGCATCCTCTGTCTACCCATGGTGTCTACTGCAATGTTATGCTTTCTTGGAATGTTTCATGAGTACATAAACATTGCCTGCTAATTTCCTGTAAGCCAAATCAAGTTGGCAACTGCTGCTGCTGCTTCCAGTATGTTTCTTTTGTCCTAATTCCAGTTCACATTTTGTGGAAACTGTTGAAGGAACTTCCCCTTGCTTCTGTCACTTCTAAAGCAAATGTCCCCTTACTGAAAAGCAGGTGACTTCCAGAAAGGAAAGCAGATAAGTGATTTTTGCAGCTCAATTTGTTGCTAAAAGATTTTAATTTGAATTATTTTTCCCTTTCAAATTGAAACCAGGGATAAATTAATTCCTAGTCTGTGTATAGCTGTATCAGCTCACTTTTTTCATTGAAACCAGCAACTTCTAATTAGACCTAAAATATGAATTTCTCTGATAACCACTGGATACACTCCAAAGAAAAAGAGTTATTAGGTATATGCAGAAGTGCTGCTAATGCAGCACATGGAGCCCTGTGAGGAGCTGCTGCAGTAGCACCGATGTCCTGTTTCCTTTAGATTTGTACAGTGAAATTATGTGTCATTCCAGAATAAAACCTGGCCAATCTCCTGGACTGTTCGAAAGGAGGCAGGAGGGTGGTAGTAATAGGCATTTTCATGTGCTAGGGTGAAAGCAGGAAGGTCCCAGTAGGGACTTGCAGATTCCTGGCTATAAAGCAGCCCAGGCTAAGTATCCTGCAAGGCTCAAATGCAGGGATTTATCTGCACAAGGGGGTTGATTCAGATCACAAAAACATTAGCAGCTGTTTCGGCCAACTTAAACCAGGTACAGTTTTATTCCAGAGATTAAAAGGCATTACTAGTCCCCTGCATGTCAGTGATAGCTGTTTTTGTTGATAATGAGTGTTACTAGGATTAAATATCCCTGTATCGAAGGAATTATTAGGTGAAACAGAAATGATGCTTTTTAAATCACTATAAAATTTGGCTCCACCAGTCCTGGCCTGCAGAAGGACTCTCTGAAACAATCAGTTAGGTGTATGCCAGTTTTCACAGCCTTCCATCCCACGGGGACAAGGAATTCAATAGTGCCCTACATTTTTAATGCGTTGCAGCTTTTTGTGTGTGTGTTTTTTATTTATTTATTTATTTTTACAAGAAATAAGGGGAAAGAATAAAAATATTTAATTGCATGGGAGTATGCCAGTTTTCACAGCCTTCCATCCCACGGGGACAAGGAATTCAATAGTGCCCTACATTTTTAATGCGTTGCAGCTTTTTGTGTGTGTGTTTTTTATTTATTTATTTATTTTTACAAGAAATAAGGGGAAAGAATAAAAATATTTAATTGCATGGGATTAGCAGAACAGGCAGCCTGTGTCCTTCCCAAGATAAAATTTGTTTAAAAGACTCTTTCTAGTGGAGTAATTTCCCAGTTTCCTTTTCTGAACGTATTAGTGCAAAAGAATTTTGATTAGCGCTTGGTTTTCCAATTCATTGTTAGTCTAGAGAATCTCTTAAGTTAACTGGTGAAAACTGACAGCTAATTTTACAAAAAGCAGTTAAATAGTTACTGGGTAGGATCCCTGGGTTGATTGTTTTTTATTTTTTGTGAGCTTAAGGAACCTATCTCCAACAGACATGAAATCATATGATTTTTCTGCGCTTCTGAAAAGTTTTGTAATAGTGAGCATGTGACTTAGCCCGTTTAAAGAAAGTTCATGTCCTGTGCACACATGCGAACCTCTTCCTCAGTTAACAGAGTGAAGCCAAAGCAAATTGGCAGGGGCCTGAGTAGCAATGTGACTTTTTGTTCTTACATCACCCTAAGAACATAACCTCAAGTTAATTTTTCTGCAGCGCTGTCGCTACTGTTCTCACCCTTATCATTCCTGGTGCCAGAAATAGGCAGATGAGTGATGTTCAGCTTGCTGCGTTCGTTTAAATTTGTTTCTTCTGTGGAAAACAAGGGGATAAACATGTGAGGCTGTGTTTTGTATGCTGGGAATTTAACAGTTTTGAAAACCAACCTGTGGATTCGGGGTAGAGGCAGCAGCAGCTGGAATTCTCCCTCGCATGCAGCTGCGAATCAGACTGCAACAAAGGAAGCTGAAAAGCTTTAACGCTGCTTCAAAGGAATAGAAAAGCTTTTGTTACTCACTCCCGACCCCAGGAAAGAAAAGGGTTCTGCACGGAGCGAAGTTTTAGCACTTCTCCAGCGTGGCACCCAACTATTGTGCTGTTACCTGTCCTATATTTAAACCATTTTGAGTCTAATCCAAGTTCCTGTTTCATTAGCCTCTGTTTATCCATATGTTCAATCTTAACTTTTTTTTTTTGGTTAAGTTAAAGCTGCATTTACCCACAAGCCTGAGATGAGTCATTTGATGTCCTGAGAAAACAAATATAATTTTCCTGTGGTGAAAAAGGAGCCGTGCTTTCATCTCGGGTTCCCTCGCCTGCCTTTTTTTCCATTTTAGAGGGAGCCGAAGCTTTGCTCAACCTTATTTTCCTTGCTCGCAGCTGTAGCAAAACGAGCCTGTTTTTTTCTCCCAACCGGTTGCACCGAAGTCTTGTGACCACACGAGCCGGGGCCGTGACAGCCCGGGCTCCGCCCGCGCCGTCGCGGCCCCGCAGCTTGGGCTGAGAAAAGCCCAATTTGGCCAAAAATCATGAGGCATAGGGGGTTGGAAAAGGGGAGAAGTTTCAAAGGGACCGTGTTGTGTTTGAAAGCAGGCGGAGTTGATCCTGGTAGGTCAAAGGAGGCTTTAGGAAGCAGCTGCTCTGGCAGGGATAACATGCTGCGTGTTCACGGCCTCTCATCACTTGAGGTGTCCGAGGGACTGCGCGTGTCACGGGGCTTATTTTAGTGCATGCACGAGACTAAATCAGAATTACTCTTTCCAACTTTCCCCAGGGTGCGGGCACAGCCATAGGAGAGCTGCCTCCATACTTCATGGCGCGGGCGGCCCGGCTCTCTGGTGCTGAACCTGATGATGAGGAGTACCAGGAATTCGAGGAGATGCTGGAACATGCAGAGACTGCACAAGTAAGAACAGTGCAAAACAGCCGCACTCAAAGCGCAGGGCAAACCAGAGGGAATAAATCTCTGCTCCCGTGAAATGGGGAACGGGCCAAAAAAAGTTGGTGCCTCTTCAGAGGGGACTTCCCCAGGGTGGGAGAAGATCCTCTGCTGCACAGAGATACCTGTCATCACACCAGGATAGCAGGGTAGCTTCCTGAGGGGCATAAAGCCAAAGTATTTGGTACAAATGCCATTTTGTTTTGTTCTAAACTTTCAAGAGCAGAACAACAGAGGTAGGTTCAAAGTGGGCTAACAAACTGGTGATTGAGGAGCTGCTCATATAATAAGCATGATTATAAAATAGCTGAATTTAAAACCTCATTCATCCAGTTTGTCCCCTCAAGATGACATTTACCTGCCTTGCCTTTAGCAGCCTGTAGGGCTGGAGCATGACCCATTCATCAGCCTGAGGAAACATATTTTTCCTGGTGTGAAAATGCAGCCAAACTGCTCTGAATCCCTTTTTGTTGTTCTTGTTACTTGTTTTCATGATACTGCTTGCATTACAGCTTATTTTGCAGCCAATGCTGATCTATTAGATATTACTGTTGATGACTTTTATTCAGGTCAGGAGTTTGCATCTTCTTCAGAAGTTATTCGCTGTATTTTAAAAGAAGTTGAACATAATTTCCTCAAGCTTTTCACTACTGAATTTCTTTTCTATATTTTTCCTTCTTAACTCTTGTTTTGTCTATGAAAACCAAAGTGGGTCATGAGACTGCCTTGAAAAAAACAGCAGATGCTATTTACCAGCAAAGCTGTCTTTTAACTTACCAAACTCCTGCCAGGGTGTTTTCTTGATACAAATATTTATTTCTTTTTTTTTTCTTTTCTTTTCTTTGGCACTGTCTCAAAAAAGAGCAGTTGACTTGTAAGCATTTGGTGCAATCTGGTAATATGGCAATACTAATCCTACATAGTAAACCTAATACAAAAACCTGTTTTCATGAGAAGCTATCAGATAGTCCCAAAGGGTTTTTTTTGCCAATGTAAATAGTAAATTATCTTCTAAATTTTAAAGATGCTTTGACAAAAAAAAGGCATTGATCTTTGCCCTATTGACAGTATTTGTTTTGTGAAGTAATCCCCAACTGTATAAAAATAAAGTCTGAATAAAAGAATACCCCAAATCAATCAAATACTTGACTTCAGAGCTGAAATGCTAGCTCTGTTCACTGAAACTCCCAGCAAATTGTACGCCTGGGAGCAGGCAGAGGTGGTTTCTGTAATGCACAAAAGTTTTTGCTAGAGAGGATCTGTCAGGACAGGCCAAAGCTATAGCCAACTGTATTGACTATCCTTTGTAAACAAGTGGTGTTGTGTAATTAATTAAGAAACATGTTGGTGTTTTTTACCAGTACTTTTGATTTTATTCTCTTGGCAAACTGAATTTGGATTTGAAACATATTGTTTTGTGGATGGATGGCCAGAAAAAAAATCTTTAAACTACCCTTGTGGTTTGGTTTCTATAAAACCCTCTTAACATGAGGCTTTGACAATCCGATTAAATTGTATTGCACTCATAAAACTGACAGTTCAGTTTTTTCCACTTGCAAATATGACTTCCTTCTTGCTTTTGGCTTCTATCGTGTTTTTGCTAGATGTCTGTGGGAGACAGGCTTGCCTGTTCCTATGACCTTGAGTAAATCCCAGCATCATAAGCATAACTTATCACTATTGGCTCCGTAGTTGCTATTTCATGAGGAGTTATAAAGTCTATTTTTAAATCGTTTAATAACAGTTTTCATTGCCTGCCTCAGCATCTCCCACTCTGCAAAAATTTGAGCAGTCTGCTTAAGAAAAGAGGGGATGTGTCAAGTGTCTCATGCCACAGAGACCACTACAAATGTTTGACGTCAAGTGATAGAAGGCCCCCTTTCAGCATAAAGGTCTGTCTTCATGCCGTGTTTCTGAGAAGCCTGAACTTGGGTGTGTTGGATTTTGAATAGCTCCCCTCTCCAGTGCTCTGTGCCTACGAGGCAAAGCCAGGCGGCCTGACGTTTCTGCCTGCGTGTGTTTTGTTTAGCAGGCTTGTTGCTGCTGTGCCTCAGAAACAATGGTAATTTTGAGAAACAGATGAGGATCCTCTATGGTGAGAATAGGCTATGAATGTAACATCTAGCCCGAGTGGTCTGCGAGGGGGAATGTGTGCTCCCTAGCACCGTGCTTTGATTAAATAATAATAATAAAAAAAAACAGGGGGTGCGGAAATTAGAAGCACTGAACAGCTTAAAGGGTTAGTGTCCCATTCAAAATCGCACTAAGTAAAATCTTATTTGCTTTGAAGAGTCTGAGGGCAGCGTGGGCTGCGCGCGGGGCGCTCTGCTCCTCCGGGCTCCACACAATGCAGCGCCCAGCGTGCGACAGAAACGCAGCGGCCCGGGCCGATCTGGTCCTGCTTAGCGCTGTACTTAAAAAATGATGGATGTCGTAAATGCTGTCGCGGTGGCCCTGTTGCAGAGCATTTCGTTTTTCCTTCAGAGCTCCCCTTTAGTGATGGGGAATATCTCTAGCTCAAACCAACCTCGCTATTAGGGGAAGTGAATCTGCTCCTTAGTGCTAGGGCAGCACATTGCTAATAACACAGGGCACGCATAGTTCTGCTCCGCTTCGTGCCTGCGCGCACGCATGTGCAGGGGCTCTGCTTTCTGCCAGTTCCAGAGTTGCTGATTGCTGAGTATTTTCCCATCCCTGTGTCATGCTGAAACTCTTAAAGCTGATAGAGGTTTCTGGTGAAAATGAAGCTTTCTGCCAGCTTTCCTCGTAGTACTTAGTGATAGTGTGCAGTGTGTGGGCCTGAGCTGTATCACGGTGCTGTTTCCTGAGAGAAAGTAAGCAGTATCTTTGTCTATCTAATCCTTAATGACCATAAATGTTTGGATTCAGTAAGTGGCATATATTTAAGAACTAATGTCTTACACACCAGGCCCTGCTTCTGTGCAGGGTAGTTGCAGCCAGATTTCCCTGCAAAAATATTTCCTAGTTGCCTGCGTTACTATCAGTTTACTGCTGCTTATTTACTCTCCCAATTGTGTCCTTGCCTTCCTTTGGAAGAATACAAGCCGGGAAAAGGGTTAAATCCCCACGAAGTGTCCGGAGCCGTGTCTCGCTGATGGAGTGTCCTCTGCACACTGGCTGTCAGGCGCTGCTGGGACCTGTTTTTGACTCCGCTGAACCTTCGCTGGTTGTGGTTTGTCTGGCCATCACATGACTTCTCTGAAAATTCCCCCTCCCCTCCATTTCCAGTAAACTGTTTGAACAGGAGTGACTCAGACTGAAACCAGCTTCCCTGTAACCACAGGGCTTGTTAAAGAATTTGTCAACGTGGACTCAAGAGGGTTCGTATTAAGGCGAGCTGCAACTGCGTCGGTTTGCGTTGCGTCAGGGCTTCCACCGCGCCGCTTCCTGCTCCGCTGCCGGCTCCCCGCCGCCAAGGGGTTAAGCCGATGGGCCTGGCGATAGCGGCCGGTGGCGAAACCCACTTCCTCGCCGTGGCCCCC